AGCTCGTTCTTGATTTCAAATATTCGATAGAATATTAATGATACTTTGTTTCGTTAATTTAATTAAATTTTCCACATAATTGATATGTTTTACTGTGAAATTGAATGTAGAATTTTGAATCACAAAATATGATAAAATTAATAATTTCTAACCAAAAATTCTAGAACAAGGAATTTTCTAGACCAACATTCGTCATATTATGAAAAAAAAATAAAAAAAAAATGGATAATACTTTAGAGAAAGCGTCTAGAAGCAGATATAAAGCAGCTGAATCAGCTAAACCATTGTTTGAAAACTAAAGAAGAAGATTTGTGCTTCTGCTTCAAATCATACAGAAATTGCCACTAACAATTCTAGAAGAATCTCTAAATTTAAACGTAGACAGGAGTACATTAATGTAATAACAATCCTAAATATGAATATGAAATACGAATATCATTAATTGTTGAGAAACATTGATAGAGGAAAATATGTGTATAATTATTTTTTAATATAAAATTTAAGAAACAGGCGTGTCAAAGTATAGACTTTATTCTTTAAAATGAGATTGATTTTTTCCCTAAAATTACATAATAAACGTAATCCTGATAATATTTAAATTATATTTCACAAATCGTATGGAAATCCACGTCGTTAAATTCTTCAAACTTTAAACATATTTCGCCGAACTTCAACAAAACTTGACGTGTTACTTGAATCAACTTCGCTAAACTATTCATAAATCCTTTCCCTCCTAACAAAACACGAACTAAACTACATCTCCAACTTCGTAACAACTATTCTACTAAAAAATTCAATCTATAAAATATATTATACATATCATACTTTCGTGTAAATAATAAATAAACATAGCTCGAATTTTTCCATGCTCGATTAACTAAACGTTCCTTCTGTTAAACTTAAATTTTATCATTCTATTAATTTTACATAAGAAAACAGTTTGTATTACCATTAATATCAATAAAGCATTTTCTTCTAAAAATATTAACAACAAAGAATTAACATTTGAAACAATTTAAAATCGAAAATAAACATTTTTCGTTTCACAATTCATTAATCAACAGGAGGAAATTCGTTTCCAAAATGATTAATGAAAGATCGCGGTTATATAATCCCGCGGCAAAAGGGTGAAATTCTTCCAAGTTCATTAACTTCTTACCAGCCACTATACAGGATATCCCGGAATTTCTCACGAGGCCACGAACTTGATAATAAACGCCACGAGTATCCGCGAGTATGGCGTTGCCTATCCTCGAAACGGCGACGTGCACCCCATAAATTGTTGCCCTCGCGGGATACACAAGCGCGAAAACTTTATTCTTTCTTCGTTTCGATTTCTTCCCCACCACTTATACCCGGCCACCGTATGCAAATATCAGCCGCGTCTGGATGGTCGAATTCTTGCCGCAATTTTCTTCCCCCCATCCTTCCCTCGATTCTCGATACCGGGGAAGATCGACGAAAAAGCGTTTTATACGGGGATGAAAGGCTTCCGCGTGCACCCCTTACGTCGAAGAGAGGAATATTTTAAAAGAAATTGAAGATTATGGCACCGTGTGCGATGTTCAAAGCCATCAAAGAAGGCAAAAGAAGGTTAAAGATTATACTTGTTATTGTAATTTATGCGGAATTCTTTTTTTTTTTTTTTGGCGCGTGTATATATGTGTATACGTGTTTCTCTTTCATTGTTTTTCTTAAGAGAATAGAATGGATATTTCGTTAATTTCTTTATTTTACTCTATGTGATATGATAATTTGAATAATTCCTATAATTTATTAGCATTGTAGCGAATGATATATTTCTATACTTTCAGAAATAAGAATTAAAATTTAATGAAATATTAAAAAATTAGGAATTCTATTAATTTTGTGATAATTCTGTCGCGTAGGCATTTTAGCTGGATATTAAATAGAATGTCAAGTCAATAAAAAACGTTACTTCACATAATCGTATATATCTAATATTAATAATAATAATACATTATTGTTCATGTGTTTGAAAGACATGACAATGAATCGTTTGTAAAAATTATTGAAACATTCATAAAGAATTTCTATGAAGATAATTCATCATGGAGAATGTTTCGACGAAAATAAATCCTTATATTCTTTCACTGTATGAATACAATATGAATTTATTAAATTATCGTGCTTATCGTTACTCTAATCCATTCTTTATGTATGTGGAAGCATACATATTAAAAAAAACAAATTAAAAAAAAAAACTATTGCTTTAAAATTCTTTGAAATTATGTTATATTATTTAAAATTTTTTTTAAATTTATATAATTAATATCGTATATATATATAAATACTAATCAATGAAATAGTATATCTACATAACAACAATTAGAATTTTTCTGCGATTTTTAATCTTTTCAAAGAGAATATTTTTTAAAATATTGTTTCTAAAAACACGATATAACTATTTTAAATAGAAATTTATTTCAAAATTATTAAATTTATATTAAAAAAAAGAAAAAGAAAAATTTCTCGTATATTCGTCATACTTTTATTTCTTTCTTAACTTAATTTAACGATACATCATGATAAAATTTTCTAGAACAGAAAAAGAATAAACAAAGCAACCGACCTATATATCCCTTGATCCACAAATTACGAAAAGCAGTTGTGTCTCGCAAGATGTTTACAATTACTCTATTTCTGGCGCCTGGAAATGCGAAATCGTCGCTCACCACCTTGGAAACATTAACGTCTTATATACACGGAATATTAGGTTCGTTCCTGCGAAACTAATTCCATTAGAAACCATAAAAAATCAGGTTACAATGGTCAACTTAATCGGAAAATAAGTTGATAAACCGACGTGAATAAATTCGTGCAAATAAAAGGAAATATATTCTACATGTGGTCAGCTATTATACGTTTTAAAAAATCTCTAATTGTTACAGCTACAATATTTTTGAATCATTTCGTAGATTACATTCAATTTTGAATACAATGTTTCACGTCTATCTCTAAGAAATATTTAAAAAAAAAAATGGAATTCTTTTTAAAGATACGAAATATTTCATTGACAGCAATGAGCAACGATCATTATAATGCGAAAAAGTTAATCAATCTGGAAATCTGAAACGCATAACTGATGAGAATATACATTGGATGACAGAAACTTCGAAAAATTTCGTATTCGAAAATGCAGGGTGTTCAAACGTCAATGCGAGGATGATGAGGACGTGAGAGAGAAAAATTAACTCGTTTTTCCCCCCTTCGAGACGAAAGTGGATATGACGAATGTGGAAAAATTTGTTCTAAAACAAGCCAAAACAATCTGTCAGAGTTTCGTTGTACGATATCCAAATTGTGATCGAGCTCTCGATTTCTATCTCACTCGAAGATTCCGCGTAATCTATAAATATGCATCGTGCTTGAATTCGCCAGACTTCGGTCACGTTACATACACGTAGCTAGAGAATTAATATTTTTATTTATACCGTTCTTAAATTTCACGTTTTATTACACGCAATAATTTAATATTTGATGACGTGCATTCACTCTCTTGATGACAAGAAATAGAATAATGTAAATTTTGATTGAAATTAAATAAAATAGATAATTAATTCTATTGTAAATATATACTTATTTTGCAAATAATAGAATTATTTAATTATTCAAATAAAACGTGAAAAGATTAAAAATTCTGTTTTAATTCTGACAGATTTTTGGAAATGTATATATTCATACTAAATATATCGAATATTTATATATGAAACGACATGTCACGTCATTTTTCAATTTTATAAATCCTAATCATTATTACAAAGAAACATCACCCTTATTTTTGCTTCAATTATAAATATCGTATTCTATATTCAAAAGATATTTAAATCGATGATTTAAATTAATAGTTTCTTAGAAATGTGCAAGGAAGATATTTCCATTTCTAGTTTTTTCCTAATTGCAGCAATGAATACAATGAACGAATTGGCACACACGTTCATTCGTTGCATCACGTTTGAAAATATACGCACAATAATTTCAACAAAGTTATCGTTTAATATCACTGATATAACTAATAAGAAAAATTTGATAAACAAAATAAAAAAAAGAATATAGAAATCACTGATAAATCTAACTAAATTTCACAAGTTAAATTAACATCTTTCATAAGACGTATCTTTTAAAGAATTAATTTTAAATCTTTCAAAAGATTAATATTTATAAAATTGATCACAGTTCAAATACAATATTCTACACTTTGTGTACATATCTTTATTTTGACATTAACGATATCAACTGTACACCATAACACAATACGTTTCATTCATTGCTTCATTACTGTATGATAACAATAACACAAAAACATTCTTTTCCCGGAATAAACGCAAAACTTCGTCATCGCGTATCCACGCGTATATATCTCTCCTTATTTACACAAAACATCGCGCATTTCCAGGTAACAAGAGACCAAAGCCATTAACCCTGATCACCAATTGAAATTACACTTTGTGCGTCGCGACCGATATTTCGTGGCGTCGTGTTCCTCGAACAACAACGACAATCGACAAAGCTTGTTTATTCGAGTCCAAGTAACTTGCCCGCTCTCTGTAACAATCACGAGTTCGATAAATTTCGTAAAAGGCGCGACAACAAGCCAGGGTTCTACAAAAAACGAGATATTTTTTATCGCCACAAAAATTCTCAAGAGCTCGTTTTCATGAGTTTTTCGTAAATTCTATCGCGGGCCATTTTTACACGCGTCCCAGTTCCTTTTCTATCTACGTTTTTCTTCGGAATATTTAACTCTTTCCCTAACCTACAATCGCGAAGTTTTTGTTACTTCTAATCTGTCATATTTTTTTAAAACGTTTCTGAGACTTTAAAGATTGAAATTTTTTAGAAATAATGACTCGAATCTCAAGAATATTCTTAAAGCAATCAACTCTATTCCTTTAGGATCGTTTCTAAAACCAAAAAAAGAATAATTTAACATTAATTTTATCGTGTCTCGGATTACAAAAAATCTAGAATAAACTCACCTCTAACACACTGGAGAAGCTGGACAAAGCCTAGAAGCATGAAGAGGATCATCCTCGTCAGATCCCTGTCCGTAATCCTGCTAGGTAAATCCTGTCCACTTGCCATCCCAACGACGAATCAAACGACGAGGCAAACGAAACTCGACTCAATAATTCACGCACCACATTCGTCGGGTCACTGTACCGTGAATATATTCTTCTCTCACGGCCAACACACAACTCACCGACCAATATTACCCTAATTTTCAAACAACAGGTCGCGTAGAGATCGTGGAGTACAGTTTCCTGCACTGTTCTCGGCCGTGGTTGGCCAGACAGGGCCCAATACTCAAGCCGGATCGTGGATACCCGGAACCGCTAGTTCCAAGATTCTCCCACGGAGATCGATCCTCCCGCGGAGCATCCGATCCAACACGCCGGGATCACAGCGAATCCATTGGAAACACGACATACACCAAAACGGGTAAACGTAGCAAATCTGGATCCAAGGATGGAGAGCCGTCAGATTGACGGAAGCGTGTCACACGGAGGGACGAAAACGGAGCACGTGCACGCTCGATAAACGGCGGGCTACTGGTGCAGCCAGCCACCGGACGGGAAAGAATTGGAGGAGACACGGAGGGAATCGGGTCCGAGGGCGTCGACAAGCTTCCACTTGATTAGGTAAGAAACTCCTGGTACCCTGAACGAAGGATATAGCGCGCGATATAGAAATAGGAGGAGGAGGAGGATCGCTCTAGAACGACGCCTTTTATCTTAGAGGCCACGGGTCGAGGGTATAATAATCACGTCGAGAGATGATCGTGCACCGTGTGTATCTGTGTTTGTGTGTGTGTATGTGTGTACTGCGTGTGTTTTCGAACGAGAGCGACGATAGAGATAGGAGAGAGGCCGCGAATAACGTGCCGGGATACCGTGGTGGCACGACGCGATACGACCGATTCGTACGCTCACCCGAAACTAAGCGGTTCTTGGCGAACGGCGCGCACCTGTCGTTCATGCGGGTCACTGCGCATGCTCCTACGAAGGAAGCCGACTGCCACCGCCAGCTCTCGTCCATCCGGGGTGGCGGCAGGTGGGAGAAGCGTGCACACGACCGTGGAAAGGTGGTGGAAATGTCCTGCGAATTAAGATTTCCTGATGGATCTAGAGGGTGGGTATTATTTCCCATGGATTGTTGTTTCGAATTCGCTTTGATGTTTGATGTACGACGCCGAAGTTTCAGGGTATACGAATATGTCGTTTTCTTGACGAGGGTTAAGTTGAGATAGTTTGAGATAGTTTTTGAACGAAGGGATAGGATATTCTTCCAATCAGACTTATTGGGTATTAAAAAGTAGTTAAAATTTTGAGTAAAGTTATTATTTCTCTGCATTCCAATGTTTCTTGGAGAAGAATTTTTAGTAAGTTTTATTAATTTTTAATCTCTTTACTTCTTGAAACAACATATATTGATTTTTTGTGTATGGTGAAATAAGGAAATATAGAAGAATTGATATACTTGTGTATTTTTGCTAAAAATGGAATGATTTATATTTACTTTGGTAAATATATAAATTAATATAATAACAAACTAATTTTTGTATCTTATCTTTAAAATTTTGTTTCCAATTACGTTAATAGAAAATGTATATTTTATTTTCTTTAATAATTTAATTTGCAAATTAACAATTCGTGATTTGAATTAATTATTGGAAAAAAAATTATCGATCACCGAGTTTCTCGAAAATATGAAATAATTTATATGAACTTTCAGTAGAATGAATCAGTGAATGAAGATGCCGCGTGTTATCGATTAATGATGTATATATGTTCTATCTCGAGCAGAACTCTTCTTTCTTTATGATATCCTTTAGATTTCTAAGTAACTGAAAGTGTAAAGATGAAATTTTCTGTATCTATCTATCATGCTTTAGACATCTAATTGATTATATTCATATCCCATTTCTAGCATTTTGCAATGTGCGAGAAATCTTTAAATAACAAATTAAATTTCGTTTCAAATAATTAAATAATTTAATTAAAAAGAAAAGAAAATATTTATTAAAACAAATTAATCTTATTTAAATTATTTTTTATATATAAAATCTTTTCTTTTACAAATAGTTTTGAACAATTATAATAATCCATTACATAACCTGTTTGTCAGGATAGCCAGATATTATTAGTATCGTTTATGACCATCCTATTGTAGCTGAACATCTGTTACCTTTGGCGTCACGCTATGTGATTTCACATGTTATGGGAACGCCTGAAAGACTTCATTTTTTCATTTCTTAATTCAGAGAACAAATTGTTTCTAAAATAAATACTTTCATCGTTCATCGTCAAATCAATTACAGAAAAATATCAAATTATTAATATTTTAGATGTCATTCAATCTCTGAATTTATTATTATACAAAAGGGATTTATTTGAATATTTTATTTTTAGTAGTTTGCAAATATATAGAAAATTTTGTTGCGATAATATTATTTATTGGAATAATGGATTTTAAACGAAATAATCTTATTCAAATGAAATTGTTTTAATCCAGTATAATTCTTCGTTGAGACTGTAATCGACAGTGATATGAATTTTCCATCGTTATTATTATATTTTATTATTATGTTACTGTATTACATTATGCAAATACCTGTTGTATAACGACTTTGGCCATGACGTATACACATGACATAAATGGAATAAAATTACCAAACAAAAAGGATACGCTTATAATTATAAATGCTTGTATTTATAAATTTCTTTTTTATAAATTTCTTTTTTATAAATTTCAACAAACAAGATTTCACAACTCGTATAACATGATAAATTAATATTCTCAAAACTTTACATAAAAATACAAGATCCAAAAAAAAAATAAATAAATAAATAAAACGATTCATCATATCTTCGTCGATTATCAATGATCGATGAAAAATTTAAACGATCCCTTCATGCTAACTAACAAACTAACTATAATCATAGATCGAACAACTTCAAACGTGTTCAAATTAACCAACTATTTACAGAATTCCCGATTCATAATTAAAACATTAAATCGAATAGAAATTGACTCATCCTCTATCAACGTTACCTCGTTCAAACTCGAATAGCTCACGTTCGGACACCTAAGTGGATTCAATCGACGGGAGTTCATTTAATCGGTCGCTAACTAAAATTTCGTCTCGATAAATGGAGTCTGGATAAATGGAATTCCGGTGTACTCCGTTTCGAAAAACAGGAAAACACGCACTTGTTACGCGATTCTGCCGATTCGTTTGTTTACGACGATCCGTCAGTTGGAGTACGTTTAATTAACGGAGTACGCCTTTATTACCTATGAAACAAACGGACTGGACAGCATAGAATTTCTTTCGGGCAAATGAATTTTCTGGTTGGCAACCGGGCTACTGCTAATTACTCGCCCGCCTGCTTATTAGTATAAGAGCGGGTAATTGGGCCAGACAAAAGAGATAATGTATATGTTACGTCAAATTAAAAATGGCCGTGAATCCTCCCTGTAATAGCGCATGCTATCGCTCAAAAGAATTAAATAGAATGTTTTTCATGAACTTCGTAATATTTTATAATCCTTGTTATATAAATATGTATTTAATTTTAGTTAATATTTTTATATATGAATAAATTATTGGATAATTTGAATACTTATTTACACGATATTTCTGTTGTAGATTATTTTTTAAATTATTCACAATTATTAATAATTCATCGATATCTATTTTCATCATCGTCACGACATTATGTTCTTCAATTCATTATACAAGATATTTATTAGTCAAAAAAAGGATAATAATCAAAATTATTCAATTTGGAAATATATAAAATATATTCTTAAACAAACGATATTGATAACGAGTAATCAGTGATTTAAAAATAATTTCTTCTTTGTATATTTGTATATTTTTTCTTAATTTTAAATTTGCAGAGAATATATTTAAAATGAAGCATATTTCTGGACGAAACTGTACAGTAAATTAAAGTTTTTTTTCGCAAACAAGCTTCATTGAAAAAAATACGAATAGTCCATTCGCGTTGCGTGGATTTACGAATTTCCTTTTCCTTTTTTCCCTTTTCTTTCCTCCTTTTTCGTCTGGTCACGAACGCTGATCTTCGACCGGTGATTTTATCAGAATTCCACGAACTCGACGATTCTTTGCCTGAATCCATTCAACAGGAGGCGAAGATATCAGCGTTATGAAATGTAAATCCCAGGAAATGGAAAGAAAATACCAGGCAACTGTGATTAACTATTCCGGCTTCCCGTCTCGATGTTCTCAAAACCATACACTGATACAAATTCGTATTTGTTATAAATACTCGATTCGATAATTGCTTCATTGTTAAACTTTCATGTTTTTTTTTTTATACTTTCGTGGAGACACGTAGATGAAAGAAATTGCTATTTTCTTCTTTTTCTTTTTCCTTTCTTTCTTTTCCATTCGTAGAAATAATGCGGATTTTGAATTTGAAACGCTTTCGTGAAATTCTCAGGAATATCTCTAATTTAAAAAAGATGATTCAATTAAAGAATTCTTACTTAAAGTAGAAGTTTAATTTAAATAACTGAGCAAAAATAAACTCAGGTAGGGGACTCCTTTTTTTTTCGTGGATAGTTATGTTAATTTGATAAGCAACTGGCCTACTTTTTCAGAAGTCACTTTGAAACTTCAATGAAATTAATTTTTCTTTTGAAATTAACTTACTCATCTTTAATGTGCATCCGAATATATTATAAATTAAATTATCATTTTTATCCTCAATATCTATCTCAATAAATTTCAATTTCAATTGCAAAAATAAAAATAGAAAAAGTTTCTTTTATTTTTTTTATTCAATTTTCTATACATATATATATTTTTTTCTGCATACTTTCCTTCGCATCTAACTCTTTCTGCTCTTCGATTATTATTACTAACAAATGGTTACTGTTCCAACATCTCGATAAAACGCCGATACAAAGTCTCTCGATTATTACTTTTCGATCCTCGAGCATCTCTCGAGGAATCAAAGAAACCAACTGTACATACACAATCGAGCTTAACTTTTTAATTCAATCCGTTCTCGAGGCCACTATCGATTTTTTCGTTCGAACGTCGAGAATTTCTTTCGTCGATAAAGAGTGGATGAGAGTTTGTCATTGAAAAGGATTCCTGATAGAAGGCCAAGGCCGCCCACTCGAAACCATCCATCCACTCACAATTTCATTATGCCCTTACACGAATTCTCTCATAATGAATGCATCAGGGAATAGAGACACGAGGATCGAAAATTCAAGAAAGATCGCGTGGATTTTAAATAAACATCAAAAGAATTGGAACCATGTTGACTTCGAATAAAATTTTTTATATCTCGTTTAGAAATAAAATCGCTTGAAAACGAATTAAAAAAGGATTCTTTTCTCCGATCAATAGTTTTTAAAAATTATTTATACTTTTTTAAGTAAAAACACCTTTATATTTATTTTAATATTTTTTCTTTGTTTCTCTCACATCCTTATACAACTGTAGCAAAAATCCGTTTACAATAATAACATCTCAGCAGCGAGGTAGAAAATCTACAGATCCACTACACACATTACGATACACATAATATTATATTTGTACATAGATATCCACGGATGTCAAGGATCCTTTATCCTGATATTTGAAAAACCATCGCAAAGAAACTCTTATTCTCTACAAAATACTACCACCTTACAAAAGATAGGAGGACAAGATAAGCCGCGCTGTCAACTTCTCATCACATGTTCCAATTAAAACACATACTCTTCTTCCGACATCAAAGACTTTTTCTCTGACCATTTTCACCGAATAAGATAACAGTTGTACAGCGTGGAACGTTCTTCATAACAGGGACGAGGGACAGAGAGAATCCCGTTAATCCATTAAAAGACGGCGCA